AGTTCCTCTTCTGTCAGCAGATACCTGCGAAACCCAGCGACAAAAAAAAGTCTCATCCCCCTATCGAGCTGATCTATCACATATAGGATGACAACCTACTGCCTCTGCCATCACTTACTCCATTAGCTCAAGTGGCAGAAGTCTGTGCAGTGGATCTAAAGGTTCATCGGCAGGGTTGGAGCCATGCGAGTTTCACGATGATTCCACATGCCAGAATTTCTGGGGCAGTTCAGTTTTGATTTTTACAAAAAAAAATGGGGAAATGCATACAGAAATAGGGTGACCAGATGCCTAAATAGGGGAATCTCAAGCAGGAGTAGAGAGGTTATTTTATCTCTGTATTTGGCACTGGTGCAACCACTGTTGGAATACTGTGTCCAGTTCTGGTGTGCACAGTTTAAGAAGGATATTGATAAATTGGAGAGTGTTCAGAGAAGAGTCACAAGACTGATTAAAGGATTATAAAACATGCCTTATAGTGATCGACTCAAGGACCTCAATCTATTTAGCTTAACAAAAAGAAGGTTAAGAAGTGACTTGGTTATAGACTGTAAGTATCTACATGGAGAACAAATAGTTAATAATGGACACTTCAGTCTAGCAGAGAAAGGTAGAGCACGAGCCAACGGTTGGAAGTTGCAGCTAGACAAATTCAGACTGGATATAAGGCATACCTTTTCAATGGTAAGAGTAATTAACGATTAACAATTATACTAAGGGTCATGGTGTTTCTCTAAAAGCTTTTTCTAAAAGCTATCCTCTAGGAATTATTTTTGGAAAGTTCTATGTCTGTGCTATACAGGCGGTGAGACCAGGTGATCACCGGATCCCTTCTGGCTTTATAATCTCAAAACTAGGTACATCAATTCACATGCAAAATTCTCATTGAATTCAATAGGTGTCCTTGCCCTGTGGCTTGCTTGTGGTGCGGGCTGCAGCAGGGGCCGTACAACCCCTCTCGCAGCTTCTTGGGCCCCCTCTCATGGCTCTGTGCACCTGTGTCTGTCATTGTCGTCCTCTCCCCTCCCCCCGCCCCGCTCGCCCAATGTGTCCTGATATTTCACTCTTGCGATCTGGTCACCCTAGCAGGCTGTGGGTCCTGGCCGCCGCTGAGCCCGTTGCCAGCCTGGGGTTCCATTCATTCAGCCGGCAGTGGGCTGAGCGGGGCCAGCAGAGGGCTGAGCAGGGCCGGCAGCCAGGATCCCGACTGCCAGCAACCGGTGGATGGAACCCCAGACTGCCGGCCCTGCTCAGCCCACCTACGGTCTGGGGTTCCATTAACCCATGCTGGCAAGAGGCTGAGCGGGGCCGGCGGCTGAGACCCCGACTGGCAAAGGGCCGGCAGCCGAAACCCCAGACAGACCTGCAGCGGGCTGAGTGGGGCAGCGGCTGGGACCTCAGCCCGCTGCCAGTCGGGGTCCCAGCCGCCGGCTCCGCTCAGCCTCCTGCCGGCCTGGGTGAATGGAACCCCAGGCCGGTGGCTGGAACCCTGGGTGAACGGAACCCCAGGCCAATGGCTGGAACCCTGGGTGAACGGAACCCCAGACCGTTCACCCAGGCCAGCAGGAGGCTGAGCGGGGCCGACGGCTGGGACCCCGGCTGGCAGGAGCCAGCGGATGGAACCCCAGACTGGCATTGGGCTGAGCCTGCTGCTGGTCTGTGGGGGGTTCCATCCGCCGGCTCCTGCCAGATGGGGTCCTGTCCACCGGCCCACTAAGTCCACTGCTGGCCCCGCTCAGCCCGCTGCCGGCTGAGTGAACGGAACCCCAGGCTGGCAATGGGCTCAGCAGCTGCCGGGACCAACAGCCTGCCATTAAAAAAAAAATCGGCTCGCGTGCCACCTTTGGCACGCATGCTGTAGGTTGCAGACCCCTGTTCTAGTGTATATAGTGTATACTGTGTGTACTGTACTCTATGGTAATTTTCACTATATGCAATTTTCCTCTTACGCGCTGACCTTAGAACCTAACCTAAGATGTGACTCCACTGTTGTGTAAAAAAAAAAATTTGGGACACCGCTTTTTGGTGCCCCCAAATCTTGGCATCCTAGGTGGCCGCCTAGTTAGCCTAGTGGTTACACCGGCCCTGCTCACGACACAGCTACAACTACACAGCATACAATCTCTCCTCCCAGTTTGCCCATATGTAAAATGGGGTAATAATATTTCCTTTGTCTTATCTATTTAGATCGTGAAATTTTCAGAGTAGTGAATGTCTCTTGATGTGTCTGTATGGTGCCTAGCAAAATGGAGACCCGGTCTTGGTTGAATGAAGCCTCTGGGCAATACCATAATGCAAATAATCAAGAATAACGATAATAATGGACTCCCCCTGACCTCAGTTTGATTCCTAAAGTCATATGCATGGAAGGCAAATGACAAAAGTCTGTGAATTTACAGAGGAACACTACACCTATAAAACTAAGGCTTGGTCTACACTAAACCCCCAAATCGAACTAAGGTACACAACTTCAGCTACGTGAATAACGTAGCTGAAGTTCGAAGTACCTTAGTTCGAACTTACCTCGGTCCACACGCGGCAGGCAGGCTCCCCCATCGACTCCGCGGTACTCCTCTCGCCGAGCTGGAGTACCGCAGTCGACGGCGAGCACTTCCGGGTTCGACTTATCGCGTCCAGACAAGACGCGATAAGTCGAACCCAGAAGTTCGATTGCCAGCCGCCGAACTAGCGGCTGGGTATAGACGTACCCTAATTCAAGTTATTGCTTTATTCTCTATTCTTGGGTCTACGTTTTTTTAGCTGTTAATTTTTCCTCCCATAGGCATTATTCCGAACAGTTGCCATGATGGTTCCAGATTATGCTTTGATTGGTGAAATTTCACTTTATTCAATGGGATTTCTTGATTCTAGAAGGTGAGTCATATTCAATTTTCCACTTACAGCTGGCTCTGAAATTCCTCAGGAGGCTAACCACTCTGTGTTTGGGGTGGTGGGTGGGGAGTATGTGTGTGTGGTGTTGTTTCTACTGATAATTTGGACTAAATTTTCCAAGTGTTGTGTAAATATTTATCCAGGCAACTGTTCTGTTCAATTAAAATCACGTGATTAAATCCATATGCATTGCTTTGAAAATGAACACCTTAATGGGTATTTTCTGATAATCCATCTCAAAAGACCTGCATGATATTAATTGATTCAAGTTTGTAAAACAACAAAAGCACACAACAAACCTTTGATCTGTACCTTGGCTACCATCGGTGAAATGTACCCCTAGGTGGAGGCCAGCCCAAGGTTACACTTTACTTAAGGCTTACTTAAGCCTCCATAAGTAGTGTGTAAACCTTCTTCTGGAACTTGGCACAGAGGTGAATTGTCACTCTGTGCAAATGAAGTTTTATGTATTTTTGAGGCACGTGAACAGGGGAAACAGCATTTCAGCTGTTACTGTTTTACAAAACCCAAAACAATGGAGAAATCTGTCATTTAGATTTCTATACATTTTGGGGCATGTCCTCGGGTGTAAACTGACATCATTCCATTTACTTCAAAGATCTGGGCTTTAAATATGCAAATATTTGATATATTTGGCATTATATTTGCATTTCACACACCATATTTTAACATCCACAGTCTTGCCCAGAAAATTGTTGCCACATACCGTCTTTGCTCTGAGCAGTTATCATCTCAGCATCACTATGACTATGGAATGCGTGCTGTTAAATCTGTCCTGACAGCAGCAGGAAACTTAAAACTAAAGTACCCAGAAGAAGATGAAAGTGTATTGTTACTTCGAGCTTTGCTGGATGTTAACTTAGCCAAATTCTTGGCACAAGATGTTCCTCTCTTTCAGGTAAGATAACAGGTAGATGCATTCAAATACTAAGTTATAAGAACCTAGAAAGACAGATAGATGGGACTGCCATGATAAACTAAGAAAACAGATCATTGCTTTAATTTAAAACGGTTTTGCCCAAATTCTTTCATCATTACTACTGAAGTCAGTGGGGTTGCACCAATCTAATTGTGGGCACAATTTGGCTCTTAGTATTGTTTTGAAAAATGAACTTATAGCAATGACAGGAGTTACCTTTTGAGTTACCTTATGATATGTTGCATGCCATTGACATGATCTCTTGTAACTCCATTAACTCATGCCAATGAAAACCATTCTTTGCTAATTTTGTATATAAGGATGTGTCTACATCAGGGGTAGGCAACCTATGGCACGTGTGCCAAAGGCGGCACACGAGCTGATTTTCAGTGGCACTCACACTGCCCGGGTCATGGCCACCAGTCCGGGGAGGCTCTGCCTTTTAATTTAATTTTAAATGAAGCTTCTTAAAATTTTAAAAACCTTATTTACTTTACATACAACAATAGTTTTGTTATATATTATAGACTTATAGAAAGAGACCTTCTAAAAACGTTAAAATGTATTACTTGCACGCAAAACCTTAAATTAGATGAATAAATGAAGACTCGGCACACCACTTCTGAAAGGTTGCCGACCCTGGTCTACACTATGGAGACTATATTGGCATTGCTAAGTTTCTGTAGCTATGTCAGCATAACCTTGTAGTGTAGACGCAGTCTACACCAATAGAAGGGTTTTTTTCACCACTGTAGGAACACCACCTTCCTTAGGTACAGTAGCTATGTCGACGGAAGCATTCTTCCATCGATATAGTTGCATCTATGCTGGGGGTTAAGTCAACATGGCTGTGGCACTCGGGGGTGTGGATTTTTCACACCACTGACCAATGTAGCTACATCGACCTAACTTTTAAGTGTAGGCCAGGCCTTAGCTTTGTATTGTGAAGGAGGTGGGGAAAGTTAAATTGCAAGTGTCATAACTATAAAGGGAAGGGTAACAATCCTCCTGTGTACAATACTATAAAATCCCTCCTGGCCAGAGACACCAAAATCCTTTTACCTGTAAAGGGTTATGAAGCTCAGGTAACCTGGCTGACACCTAACCCAAAGGACCAATAAGGGGACAAGATACTTTAAAATCTTGCCAGGAGGGGTGGAGGGGTGGAGGAGGAGGACTGGACCGGACACCAATCCATGCTCTCCAAATCTTTCTGAACAAGTCTCTCATATTTTAAACTTGTAAGTAATAGCCAGGCAAGGCCAGGGGCGGATTAACAAATTTGCCGCCCATAGGCCATCAAAAAATTGCCGCGCCCCCGCCAGCTCACCTCCGCTCCCCCGTGGCAAGCCAGGGAGGGAGGGGGGAGAAGGGGAGTTGCGGCGCGCTCGGGGGATGGCGGCGGCGGTAGAGCAGAGGTGAGCCGGGGCGGGCCGGGGAGCAGTTCCCGGCCCCCCGTTACTCCCCATGCCCGCAGGCCCTAGCTCACCTCTGCTCCGCCTCCTCCGAGCGCGCTGCAACTCGCTTCTCCCTCCCTCCCACAGCGGCAAGCCTGGGAGGGAGGTGGAAGGAGGGAAGCGCGGCGGGCCTGGGGGAGAAGGCGGGCCGGGGATTTGGGGAAGGGGCAGTGTTGGGGAGGGGGCAAGAACAAATTTGCCGCCCTAGGCCTAGGCCTTGTTGGCCTAGGCGATAATATGCCGCTAGGCAAGGTGTATAAGTTTATCTTTGTTTTTCTCAACTTGTGAATGTTCCTTTGCTAGAGGGAGGCTTACCCCTGTTTTGCTGTAACTTTGAAACTAAGGCTAGAGGGGTTTCCTCTGGGCTCTTTGAATCTGATTACCCTGTAAAGTTATTTTCCATCCTGATTTTACAGAGATAATTTTTACCTTTTCTTTTTAATAAAATCCTTCTTTTAAGAACCTGACTGATTTTTCCATTGTCCAAAGATCCAGGGGTTTGGTTCTTTGATCACTTTGTAACCAATTGGTTAGGATATTATTCTCAAGCCTCCCCAGGAAAGGGGGTGTAAGGGCATGGGGGGATATTTTGGGGGAAGAGGAACTCCAAGTGGTCCTTTCCCTTTTTCTTGTTAAATCACTTGGTGGTGGCAGAGTACCAGATTTTAACCTAAGCTGGTAGAAATAAGTTTAGGGGGCTTTCATGCGGGTCCCCACATCTGTACCCTAGAGTTCAGAGTGGGGAAGTAACCCTGACAGCAAGCAATAGAAAATATTTTGTTTGGAAGTCAGAGTGAAAACCATGGTGTTATTGCTAATGTTATGCTTCCATAGAAGGAGGATAATCAATGTTTCAGGCTTCAAAGCCATCCGTATTAATTATAAAGCCATCCATATTAATTATAAAGACCTAAGATCTGGACTTTTGAAAAAAGTCACTTCTGTGAAGTAAGAGAACACATATCTCCCCATTAGTCATTTAATCTCTCCACTCCCCCAATACATTTAAAGGTAGATTTTCAGCAGTTTTGCAGGAGCAATTCATGCCTGTATCATTTGTGACATTCATTCATTTGTGAGTGCAAAACAGAGTGCCTTCACCTCTATCTGATTGTGGGTACAAGTGAGTCAATTAAAGGCACAACTACTGAGGTTTGCACCTGCAGTTAATTTTACAGGTCCAAAAATGTGGGTGCAATTAGTGCCTTTAAATTAGGACTCAGTCCAGCTGAATACATTCCCCCTTAAAGTCCTATTTCCTACCATATTCTATGTATTTCTTAACACTCAGAAGTTCTGCCTTTGTTTTTGTTAGTTTGCTTTTAATAGTATCCTGTTTTTTTCATTAACAGGGTATCATATCTGACCTGTTTCCTGGAGTGGTTCTTCCTAAACCAGACTATGAGCTGTTTGTGCAGGCACTGAGTGACAATATTACAAAAATGAATCTTCAACCAGTTCCTTGGTTTATTGGAAAAATTATTCAGGTATTTAAAGAAAATATTCATCACATCTGAAAAAAGATAATTTATGTATAAACTATTAAAGTACCTGGCTGAATCAGGGCCTAAATTAGTAGCTAGCAGAGCATTACAGAAAGCTTATCTATACAAAGTGAAAACCACAAAATGTACAGACATTGATATGCCAGAAAAAACCTCCACTCTCTATAACAGTAAGTACGAGTTGGTCAGTAGATATTGCCCCCTTCCATGTGCGAAGGGTACTCATATTTGCACGCATGTCTCAGGTCATATGACTGGAGCCAGCAAATGAAATTCAGTCTTACTAAGGGAGCGAATGTGCCTTAGCATAGAGAGCACTGGACTAAGACTCATAAGACCTATGTTCTTTCCTGGCTCTGCTACTGGCCTGCTGGGTGACCTTGAGCAAGTCAGTTCATCGCTCTATACCTCAGTTTCCCCATCTGTAAAATGGCAATAATGATACTGACTGTCTTTGTAAAGTGTTTTGAGATCTCGGTACTGTTATTACTGCCACTCATGGGTTGTGCCTTTATTACACCCACTGCTTTAACTTTCACCCTTTTATTAGTTGCTTTTCCTGATTTGAAACCAAGTTAGTTAAACAGGTACAAACAGTTAGGTGGACACTCTTGTTCTGGTTTAAACCAGACTTATTTTGGTGTAGCTTGGGTCAGTTAGCAATTGGATTAAGCTAAACTGAAAAAAGGCACTCTTAAATTAAAATAATAATGTTTACCAGGGGTTTGCACTAGTTTAAATCAGTTTAAAAACAAATTTAAGTTAAACCAGTGCAAATTTCTAATGAAAACAAGGCCTGAGTTGGAGTAATTTACACTCTGAGGAGGCAGGAAGTGTAATTATGCTGTCTTAGACTCACCTCTGAGTTTGGCCTTAGGATCCTTAAGGGTAGGAATGTCAGTGTTTGTGTCTAGATTGGCTGATCTGCTCTTTCACACAATGTAGGAGTGCAAGAGAGACGTAGTTTCACACACATTACATTCAGTTCTTTAATATATTTAAGTATAAAACTCATGTCATCAATACAGATTTATGAAATGATGCTGGTGCGCCATGGATACATGATTGTTGGAGATGCTTTGGGTGGAAAGACCTGTGCTTACAAAGTGCTAGCCGCAGCCCTTGGTGATTTGTACACAGGTAAAAATAAAAAGCCTACCGAAGATTTCTCATAAAAAATTAATTCTATGACCAAAGAATTTGCTGTACAAAGATACGTTCAGGTTGCTAATTCTGCTGTTAATGGGTTGCAGAATAGAAGAGAATTTGGATGTGCTGGAATAAGATTGGAAAACCTCAGTTAGAAATATTCTTCTTTCTGATCACAGGAATATGCAAAAAAGTCAGTTACACATTTTGTTAAGCAGTATATTTGTGCACAGTAGTCATGCAAAACTAGCAGCAATAGCCTCATCAAACAAATCTCTTAATGTATGGTTCTTCTCTGGAAAATGACTGCAAAAATGGCACCTCTTTGCTCAACAGATCTATTCCCTGGGAGAGATTTTGTGAAGCTCTCTCATTAATGCACAATCAGTTTCCATTGTGCTTCTGTCCTTTCCTCAATTTTTACCTTGTGCTTGTGCACACAACACTCTGGACCTGCCTTTTGCAGCAATAAACTCTATGTGTAAGTAAAGGAAGTCATTACTTACTGCTAGGTAGCTTCCACATGTAAGGTCTATTGGGTGGCTTCACTGGGATTCTATCAGGAATGTTCCACTTCTAAACTTCATTAATTAAAAATATTTTTAAAGAACTTTTGCCTTCTATCTAGCTAATCAATGTAATCTATTTTTAATTCCTACCTAGCAAATTCCATGGATGAGTTTGCTGTTGAGTACAGAATTATTAATCCCAAAGCTATTACAATGGGACAGCTGTATGGGTGTTTTGACCCTGTGAGCCATGAGTGGACAGATGGAGTCCTTGCAAACACCTTCAGACAACAAGCATCTTTAACCACAGATGACAGGAAGTGGATTATATTTGATGGACCAGTGGATGCAGTTTGGATAGAGAACATGAACACTGTGCTAGATGATAATAAGAAGGTAGCCATCATTTTTGCCTGTTACTTTTGCGTGTGAATGCACATAATTAATTGCAGTTGTTTGGTTATTGCAGTTAGTGATCTGACGCTTTTAAGTAAATTGAAATACATGAATTCATCTTTCTAACTGGAAATTCTAGCTGGAGATTTGTTTATTCACAAAATAATAATTATCTTAAACTGCTAAAAGAAAAAGGATTGCTTTTTATTGTGGAATATATAAAGAGCTGGCTAATGCTTCATTTTCTCTTTTTCTCCCAAGTCTGCAAGACTTGGCAATAACAAATGGAGAGCTCTCTAAGACAGAATTCTATAAATATCACATACTACCGGAACATGAATGAATGAATAAGAACTGACACTAAATGGGATGGCTGTTCAGTGATTTTATGATAAGCACTGCTATAAGTGAATGTTCAGCTATGATATGATTAAGCCATGTTTGCTTTCCAGCTGTGTTTAATGAGCGGGGAAATAATTCAGATGAGTTCCAAAATGAGTTTAATCTTCGAGCCAGCTGACTTGGAGGAGGCATCTCCAGCAACTGTCAGCAGGTAACAATAACCCACCCAAAGTCTGAACTATCTCACACAATGTACTTGATGCATTTCAGATACCTTACTGCACCATGACTACTTTTTTTTCCAGGTGTGGTATGATCTATATGGATCCTAATCAGTTAGGTTGGAAGCCTCTGAAGGATTCCTACATGGACACGCTGCCCCCAAATCTGCAACAGGAGCACAGAGAACTGGTGTGAACCTTTTATTTTTCATGTGTCACCCTTATAACTTTTACTTTAAAGGTAATCTGCCCACTATGTCCTAGTATGTCCTATGGGCTTCCAAGTAGGCACATTGGGTAATGTTTTTAAAAGCGCCTCAGTGAATCAGGACACAAAGGGTATGTCTACATTGCAATCAGACTGCAGCACATGTAGACATAACCACACTAGCTTTGCTCTAGCTAGCTTGAATAACTATGCCAGTGAAGCTGTGGTAGCATGGGAGGCAGCACAGGCTAGCTGGCCAAGTACATGCCTAGCATCCCAGATGGGCTTGTACCTTCTATGCTGCCACCTCTACTGCCATGGCTTCGCTGCAATAGAACAAAGCTAGTTTGGGTACGTCTACATGTGCAGCAGTCACACCTCTGATCGCAATGAAGACATACCCTGAATCCCAAGGGGCTCCACAGGTAGTTTGCCTCACTTTCCCCACTTTCCCATCTTTCCATCCAAAAGCCCAGACAAAGCAAAGGTTTCTCTTCCTCCTCCCAGGCCTTCCTGCCTGGCATCTTTTCTGCTTTGGCAGGCCATTCCCAGGCCCTGCCTGGTCAGAGTCTCAGTCCTAACTCCCAGGACTCTCTGCTAGAACCTGCTCACTCTCCTAGCAGTCTCTAATCCCTGGGCTCCTTTCCACTTTTGAAAATTATATCCAATATTACATGGGGTTTAGTGATGTGTGAGACTTCACTAACAGAGTCCTAGTGCATGATAGATGGAGATTATGTGAGCCAGGTCCAGGAGAAGGGGGGTGAAAAATGTGCATTAAAAATGCACCTTCACCTGTTTGGGGCAGTCAGATACGAGCATGAGAAATGCATATATTAATAACATTCTTATCATTCTGGGTCTGCTTTTGCAAACCCTTACTCACTAGAATAGTTCTTACTGAGTAGAACAACTCAGATGGATCAGTGGTGCTCATGTTCGTGTAGTGCATTTACAAATGAGACTGAGGATTTGCCGGAATAAGTTCTGAAGGTTATCTAAGCATTAAACATTGAGTTCAGTGGCGGAGGATCAGGCATTAAAAGGCCAAACAAACTTTTCTGTGTTGGGCCTAGAGCTGGATGAAGCCATAGTTTTCTGTGATCTGCCAGCCCCCTTCTTCACTGTTCAATGGAAGAGCAAACAGGAGCTGGGACCAAATTCAGAAAAAGTGCTTAGGGATGGGGGAATGCTGCCTGATGTTGGTTAAGAAGCAATCCCTGTCCCTTTATAAACTATCTGAAATACCCTTGGAAAAGGCCAAGATAGAGGCAGAGGAGAGGTTGGGCCATGACTTCCTGCACAAGTCAGCAGAGCTGGCTTGCTGTAGAGGGTAAGCGATGATGCTTCACTTATGGCAGTGGTCACTGTGATGGGTTGGATCACAGAAACCCCCTTGGGAGCTGCCACCTGATGTGCAAAGACTACCTCTGCTCCTGTTTTCCCTGCCAGCTCAGGACTCCAGCACTCTGTCTTGCTGAGTCAGACACTCCCGTCTGCTCCAATACAGACCCAGGGTCTGAATCACTTGTCCCAAAGCTGCAAGTTTACCTGAAAACAGCTCACAGAAGTGTGCTTGTCTTTAGCACTCAGATGCCCAACTCCCAAGGGGGTCTAAACCCAAATAAATCCGTTTTACCCTGTATAAAGCTTATGCAGGGCAAACTCATAAATTGTTCGCCCTCTATAACACTGATAGAGAGATATGCACAGTTGTTTGCTGCCCCAGGTCCTTAATTAATAAGGAAAAAAGTGATTTTATTAAAGACAGAAAATAGAATTTAAGTGGTTCCAAGTAGTAACAGACAGAACAAAGTAAGTCACCAAGCAAAATAAAATAAAATGTGCAAATCTATGTCTAATCAAACTGAATACAGATAATCTCACCCTCAGATAGGGTGACCAGATCACCCAAGTCAAATATCGGGACGTGGGGGGGTGTGGCGGGAGGGGGCAGGGCAAACCCCCCCTTTCCTCCACAAGCGCTGGAGGGAGCCCCGGGAGACACAGGCAAAGTGCGGGGCCGGGGTGAGTGAGAGTCCGGTCTGGCCCCGAGTGCAGGCAGGACTCAGTCAGGCGGTAGGGAGAGTAGGGGGGCGGCCTGCGGGGCCAGGCGGCGGCTGTTCTCCCCCCCGGGCAGCGGGACACGGGAGCAGCCGCTGCTGCAGCTCCCACTGCTGCGGGGGGAGGAAGCGCCAGAGCTGCAGCCGCCGAGCTTGGCCATTGGCCGCTTCCTCCCCCACGCTTCCTCCTCCCTACCGCCTGACTGAATCCTGCCTGCTCGGTTCCAGGCTGGACTCTCACTCACCCCGGCCCCGTGCTTCCCCTGCGTCTCCTGGGCCTCCCTCCACAAGCGCCGGAGGGAGGAGGAATGGTGAGCTTGGGGAAGAGGTGGGGATTCGGGGAGGGAGCCAATGGGGGAAGGTGGGGGTAAAGTCAGGGCGGGGGTGGGGCGCAAACACTTCCGGGCTCTGGAGTATTTGCTTGTTTGTCCAGTGTCCCGACCTAACGTTGGTCGGGACGCGGGACAAACAAGGAAATATTGGGACAGTCCCGATAAAATCGGGACGTCTGGTCACCCTTCCGTCAGAGATGCTTCAGTAAGCTTTTTCTCAGACTGGACACCTTCCAGGCCTGGGCACAATTCTTTCCCCTGGTACAGCTCTTGTTGCAGCTCAGGTGATAGCTAGGGGATTCTTCATGATGGCTCCTCTCCCCCCTTTATTCTGTTCCACCCCTTTATCTATCTTTTGCATAAGGTGGGAACCCTTTGTCCCTCTGGGTTTCCAACCCCCCTCACTGGAAAAGCACCAGGTTAAAGATGGATTCCAGTTCAGGTGACATGATCACATGTCATTGCAAGACTTCATTACCCACTTGCCAGCACACACACATACAGGAAGACTCACAGGTAAACACAGCAATCTGCAGACAATGGGAGTCATCAAGATTCCAAACCATCATTAATGGCCCACACTTTACATAATTACAGTAGGCCCTCAGAGTTATATTTTATATTTCTAGTTTTAGATACAAGAGTGGTACATTTATACAAATCGGATGATCACACTCAGTAGATTATAAGCTTTGTAATGATACCTTACAAGAGACCTTTTGCATGAAGCATATCCCAGTTACGTTATATTCACTTATTACCATATTTTTCTACTATCCCAGTTACATTATATTCACTTATTATCATGTTTTTATAAAACCATATAGACTGCACAATGTCACAGTCACACTCTCCCTGCGTACTGGGGAGCTCCAGAAGGCATTTCATAATGGGATGAGGTGACTATGCACTACCCCCAGTGCCCTTAATGGTCTGATGGAACCCTGGTTTTTGTTCCTTCTGCTGTATGCTTACTAGACCTTGGATTTACTCTCTCAGATTATCCTGTAAACCTCAGTGAAATGCGATCTTCCCATATTTAGTCCCTTTGCCTGGGTGGAGTAACAGCTCTCCAAGGTGGAAAGGTCCTTCTGCTGTCTGGATTAATAAGAGGAGAACAAACTTCCTATTCCAAACCATTTATTTGCCTGTGACAAAAACAGCTTCTTTCCACTGTCAGGCTCTGTGGCAACTCCCATAGTGCCTTGTCAAGGCCACTCCCCAATCTCCCCCTCCACCAACCCAGGCAGAATTATTGGTGCCTTAAGGATCCACTTTTATTGAACAGCTAAGTCAAATAAACCTTTGATACAGGTCTAGGTAAGTAAGGAAAATAATGCCACTCCTACACTGTTTTAAAACTGTTTCCTGTTCCGCTTGCAGATTGATGACATGTTTATGTGGCTAGTCCAGCCTTGCTTGGAATTTATTCGCCTTCATTGCAAAATCATAGTACAGACATCCGCTATCCATCTAACCTATAGCATGATGAAACTCTATACCTGTCTGCTCGGTCAGTATCTTTTAATGCTTCAGCCTCTTATTTTTTCCTGATATGTCATAAGAATAGAAAATCCAGGCCACTAGAGACAAGTTAATGCTAGAAGACTTCATTTTGAATGAAGCAAGTGCTTTGGGGGTGTGGATCATATGCCATAGGTCTTTTTCACTGACCTAGTAATAACAACAGTCTTTTGCGCCTTGTATAGCACCTCTCTACTCAGGATCTGAGAGTACTTTACAGGCCTGAGTTAGGCCCTGTGGGCATGGCCCCAGATGTTTAGCATGCTGTTTGCTAACATCCTAATGAAATATTTAGAACTCCTTTAAATATTTCCCATTCATTCATTTTTAACTGAAAACAATATATTGCACCATCAAAACAGGGCCAGAGTCTCACCTGGTGAAAATTGACATAGCGCCATTGAAGGCAATGCTGAGGATCTGGCTTAGAATGATTTTTTTACAAAAGCAGATTTTGATCATTTAACCAAGATTTGAATGCATTTTTTAGATGAAATAAGGAAATCGGGTGAAGAAGAAGGTGAAACCATGTCTAGTCAGCAGATCATCTTATGGCTACAGGGGCTTTTCCTTTTCGCATTGGTTTGGACAATTGGTGGGACCATCAATGCAGACAGCAGAAAGAAATTTGATCTGTTTTTCCGCAACTTGCTCATGGGAATGGATGATGAGAACCCGCGCCCCAAAAGCCTGAAGCTCACCAAAAACAACATCTTTCCGGAAAAAGGTGTTTCTACATAACTGTATTTGTATTGCTTAGTCTTGCTTTACAAACCCTGCCGAATCCTCTCTAGCACTGCTGGGCAGACTGGGGTGCCTGGCACTTTTCCTTTGCTGCGGAGATCCTGCAGCCAGGCCTGAAGGATACACTGTGGGGAGCTCTTTTTTGTTGCTCTAACAAGAGGAGCATGTGCCCCAGATTGACCTAAACGGTGAAATCTGTTGCAGCTAACAACTTCCTGACAGTGAGGTTCAATGGGAGAGGAGGATATTCAGTGTTATTTAGGAGGCATTCATCGCCACACAGGCCATGTGAAGAACTGACAAATCAGGAAAATTCTTTCATTTGATCATTTCTACCCTTGTACTAGAAAGGACTAGGGGGAAATATTGTAGATGCTAAAGTGACATGACATTATTTTGACCGTCTGTTCAGTCAGTTTTCCTGTATTCTGTGTTTTGTTTAACAGGGAGTGTGTATGACTTCTATTTTCACAAGCAAGCCAGTGGACAATGGAACATATGGACTGATTACATCACTAGGGAGGAGCAAAATATCCCTGCTGGTGCAAAGGTTAACCTTTTTTTTTCATTATAGAAAAGAACTCAGTGATGAAAACAGTGTTATGAAATGACAGAGCTACAAGTCAGTTACATTTGATAGCTATGATTAATTTATATATGACTTCTTTCTGCTTACTGTGTAGTGTCTTAAGCTGTATGGGCTCTCTCCCGCTTAACCCTTGGTTCTGATGTCAGACCTATATTTAAATCTCAGTACAAAAGGTAAATATGGAGCATAAGGGTGATCTTGTGGTGAAAGATCTGGGCTCAATTCCTGGCTTTGTTACAGAATCCTTGTATGACCTTGGGCAAGTCACTTAACCAAGAAGCAGCCTCTGATTTTTGGTGCCTGTTTTTGGGTGTTCAGGCTGAGACCTAGTGTAATACAACATGAATTAATCAGCACTTCTACATGAATTGACTCACAGCTTCCTTAGGACGGGGAGGCCAACTTAGGGGGTCCAAGAAGCCTGAACACTGGAGAACAACCCAGAACAGAGGCATCCACATTTTAATGGCAAGCTTTGAACTTAATCTCTCTGTGCCTTGGTTTCCCCATCTGCAAAGTGAGGTTAATGATACTTCCCAATTGTATCAGGGCTGACTGCCTCCCACGTCTAAGGTCTAAGCCTAAGGTCATACCACAGGCAGTCTGCCTCACTTTCCCCTCTTTCCATCCAAAAGCCCACACAAGGCAAAGGTTTCTCTTCCTCCTCCCAGGCCTTCCTGCCTGGCATCTTTTCTGCTTTGGCAGGCCACTCCCAGGCCCTGCCTGGTCAGAGTCTCAGTCCTAACTCCCAGGACTCTCTGCTAGAACCTGCTCACTCTCCTAGCAGTCTCTAATCCCTGGACATTCCCTCTTTCACTGCAGCCTCCTGCTGCTCTGTATAGAGTGGCTCATTGTATAATCAGGGCTGGCTAGTCCCAGCCCTTAAGGGGTGAACCACACTGTTACACCTGCCTTGCAGGTGTGATGTGGGGTTAAATTCATTAATGGTTGTAGAAATCTTTAAGAAGTTCAAAATGTTGTTAACCATTGCCTCATTACCACTATTCCTCATTGACATGCTAGATATCAGTACAGCTAGCATCTACATGACATATGTGGAAAGAAGAAGGCTGGATCTTTATTTCATCATTTAAAAATAACTTTTAAGTACACAGCACATAGCTGTCCCACTGATGTGGGGGGAGAAGAGACTCCCTGTGACATTTTACCCCTTCCCTTTGCACAGTGAAGGGCAGAATTGAGCCCCAAATTAGGAATTATCCAATGCTCCCATTTTTGCTTTGAATTGTCACAATGCCTAGGAGCCCTAGTCATGGATCGGGCTCCATCGTGCTAGGTGCTGTACAAACACAGAACAAAAGCAGCTCCTTACTACCATTTACAGTATCTACAAGAAACTTGTAATAACCTTTATTTACATATAGAAGTAATTTTAAAAAACTCCTTTTTTGGGCAATAAACTCACTGCAGTAAGTTGATTTCAAACCTCAGTGATTACAGTATTTGTTTTCCACATGGTATTTTAATTTTCCATATAATAGGTGTCCGAGCTTATAATTCCAACAATGGAAACAGCCAGGCAATCTTTTTTTCTAAAAACATATGTGGAACATAACATCCCCTTGCTGTTTGTGGGCCCCACTGGCACAGGAAAGTCCGCTATTACCAACAGCTTTCTGCTGCAACTTCCAAAGCTTAAATACGTCCCTAACTGCATCAACTTCTCTGCAAGAACTTCAGCTAACCAAACCCAGGATATTATTATGTCAAAGCTGGACAGAAGAAGAAAGGGACTATTTGGACCTCCCGTGGGGAAAAAAGCTATAATATTTGTAGGTAAGACAACTTGTGTGTTCTTATTTCTTCATGTAAATTCAAGCTTCAGGAGAACTAAGTGCTTCATTGGTCTGGTAATTATACACTGCCACGCTACTTGCTTTTTTTTTTAAGGCATCTGTGAAAGGATTAGGACTGTCCCCTGCTGGAAAATTTACATACATTGAAGCACAGGCATGAAAACTAGGGGTGGGGGGGTGTTGCAGCACCCCCATGTTTTGCATGAGGTTCCGGCCGCTGGCCCAGCACCCAGGGTCCCGCTGCTGCTGGCCCTGCGCCCAGGAATCCGCTCCTGGTCCCGCACCCAGGGTCCCAGATGAGGACCTGTGTCTGGGGCTCTGCTCCTGGCCCCACACCCAGGGTCCTGGCTGCAGGACCCGCGCCAGGGTTTTGCTCCAGGCCCTGTATGCAGGGATCTGGCTGCTGGCCCCCCACCCGGGACTCTGCTCCCTCCCACGGCTGTGGTCCCAGCCTCAGCCCCCTTATCCCTGTCCATGTCCTCCCTACCTCCCAGAGCCATACTCCGGTCCTGGCCCCAGCTCTGGGGAGAGGGAGCACAGACAGAGAGGGTGCGAGGTAAAAAGTTTGGGGATTTCTTGCTTTCAGCACCCCCCACTGTAAAAAGTGGTCCAGTGCCACTGCATTGAAGTGGTGCTTGTCTTTAAGATGGTTCGCTCACTTACTTTAAATCTGTGCAGTTTGGTACTTTATGTTGCAATTTGTGATCTTAAGTAAACACAAAACAAAAAAACACCCCATCAGCCAAACAAAATTAAACCAATATCTTTAACTATAAAAAAATTACCCCTGCATGGTATAATTACATTAGATTCAGTTGTTGCATCAAAGAGAAATAATAATAATGAAAGGTAACCTTTTCCTTGTTAAGAGAGAGAATAGGTATCTGTGCTTTGATTTATTTCGTAAGACATGAACGTTCTTTTTAGATGACCTAAACATGCCTGCAAAGGAGGTGTACGGTGCCCAGCCACCTATTGAGCTTCTTAGACAGTGGATTGATCATGGTCACTGGTATGACAAGAAGGATACATCCAGGCTTGATATCATAGATGTCTTACTTGTTTCAGCAATGGGCCCTCCTGGTGGAGGAAGGAATGATATTACAGGTAGGAAATAAATATAATATAATATAATATAATATAGAAATACCTCACTATGACAACCCATTCTCTAGTTGACTGAGGTTATAGAGGGAAGCCTGGCTTACCTAATGTTATTCAAATAGAAGACTATGATCTTGTCTACATGAATAATTAGTTTGCGGCAAGCTGAGGTGTGAGTCTACCCTGCACTAGCATGCTGCAGGATAACTGTCCATGTGGACCCTGATCATGCGCATTAACAGTTTGTCAATGTGCTTTGATCTAGTTCTCTTTGAAATGGAACTAGATCAAAATGCATTAATGAACTGTCCACATGGACAGTTAGTCTGTGGCAGGCTAGCATGGGGTAGATTCACACCTTAGCTTTCCACAAACTAAATCTTTGTATACAAACAGTGCTCTGTTTGTATACAAATTGTAAGCCAGTGAGCAGATTCACCAGCTGGGCCATTCCAAATAAAGCCCACATACACACATTTATTATTACATCTGAATATAAAGGAGCTGGAAAAATGAGCCCAGGATAAGGATGATTGGCTTTGTTTGACTTCTGCCTCACCTGATGGTATAGGAATGATGATGATGATGATGATGACTCAAGTTTAATCCGCGTCTGTTTCCTCCGGGTGGGTTTAATAATCAACAGAAAATACAAAGCCTGAAAATAATACCAAACGCTTAGGAACAGGTATGTTCTTATCACATGTTAGATAACAAATGCTGACTAACACAGTAAAATCCTAGTGTAGACAAGGCAGTTTGTAGCTTTTGCACATGTTACCAGGTCAAGGTGAAAACTAGGGTGAATCTAAGGTTTATCTTAACTTGCTAACTTGTGTGAAAACTACAGATTGTCTTGCATTCACCAGAATTTTAGCTCATCTCAGGGTATATCCACAGTTCGAGTTGGGGGTATGATTCCCAGCTCAGGTAGACATACTTGTGCTAGCTCCTCACTGAGCTAATGCACTAGAAGTAGAATGTAGCCATGGCAGCGCAAACAGTGAGAGGACTAACAGCCTTGAGTGTGTGCCCATTAGAGATGTTGGGTTTGTACTGAGGGAAGCTAGCCCTTCTCGCCACTCCTGCTACTACTGCTATACTTCTATTTTTAGCACACTAACTCTATTAGAGCTAGTGCAAGTATGTCTACTCGAGCTGGGAATCACATCCCCAGATCAAAGTGTAGGTATACCCTTAGTTACCATGAGGTAAGAACATGCCTTTGTGCTGTTTTGGGGTCCACCCAGACCAGTAAGGGATTCTGGCATCATCTGCCCTGTAACCTTGCCTGGTCTTGGTGCTGTGTGGCTATGGTTCAGATCCCAAAAGGACAAGGTCTCATCCCGGCTCTGACCAATCCAGTTACTCTTTACAGGGTGACACGAACAGCCCTTTCAAGTCCCGAGTCTCCCCAAATACGTCTTCCCTGAGTTCTTAATTAGCAGACACTCTGACCATTCTCCTCTGGTTCCTCACCTCTGAACTTCAAGGCATGAAATTAGTGCCCCAGTTATCAACTCACTTTGGCATACACACTCCACACAGTTTGTACCCCAGAGAGCTATTTGGGATTAAAATACAAAAAGTGTATTTAATAGAAAAACCGCAGATTCCAAGATGGAATAGTAGGGGGAAAGCAAACATATACGAGTTACACACAGGAGCGATGCCAGGGTTTTTGGCGCCCTAGGCGGGGGTCCTTCTGCGCTCTCAGTCTTCGGGGCATTTCGGTGGCGGATCCCGGAGCGAGTGAAGGACCCGCCGCAGAATTGCCGGCCCCCCAAATCCTGGCACCCTAGGCGACCGCCTAGGTCGCCTAAATGGAAGCGCCGGCCCTGGTTACACAGAAACCAAACACAGAGACGCAACCTCTGGCTTTGCACTTTCCTATTAGATAAAATCCCTTTTCTAATAAGAGTCACATATTGCCTTAAAACAATGTACCCCCTAGCCATAGGTGGGGTCCAGCATTCACAGACTGCCTTTTGCCTCGAGACTGTCTCCCAAATTCTGGAGGAAATACCTCAGTTCCAAGCCTGATTTGAAAAGGGCTTTTTCCCCGCCCCCTCCAGTCCATAGTGACTCATGGTAATTCAGAATGGGGATACTTCCTCCTGACTTGATGTTCTGAGCCGGAATGTTCTTTTCATTGTAGAGTTGCATCCATGTCTTTCCATTAACCCCAACAGTCTACCATTGTCCTTTCCTGGGCTGGACAATGGATAGTTACTTGAAGCCAAGTTTGTGTAAACAACTGGTTCGGGAGGTGTCTCCACCTGCCTGACTGCTCACTGCCCTACTGTGAGGTAGAGCTGAAATTGCATCACAGTTTATGAGCACAGTTTTCTATAGACACAAATATATAAATTCATAACCATCATAGGCACCAACTTCCTCTCTACCCGGTGGGTGCTCAACCCCCAACCCCTGTCCGCATCAGGCCCCACCCCCACTTCACCCCTTCCCCAAGCCACTGCCTCACCTCTGCCCCTGCCCTGCCTCTTCCCCGCCTCTTTTCACCCTCTCCCCCGAGTGCACCCTGTCCCCGTTCCTTCCCCTCCCTCCTGGAGCTGACCGGAATGCACTGGGAGGGGGGAGGAGGAGTGATCAGTGAGGCTGCCGGTGCGGGAGAGGCTCTGGGGGGGCAAGGAGGAGAGGGGGAAGCTTGGCTGTTAGTGGGTGCTGAGCACCCGCTAATTTTTCTCCATGGGTGCTCCAGCCCTGGAGCACCCACAGAGTCGGTGCCTATGATAATCATGGTCTGTATATATATCTCATTTTTGGGGTTTAAGCCTTTTGGTCTCCCCTTGGGGTGTCTGGACCCTGATTGTCACAGCCTTTTTCTTAGAGAAGATAAGACTTTAGAGTTTGAAGACTGGTCTACACACTTGAAAAGTTTCACCAGTAGGAGTGTAATTTTTTGCTGACATTAGTATGCTGCTAAAAGCCCTAGTGAAGATGCAGTTATACTGATGTAAGGTACTCTATGCTGCTACAGTTTATTTCACTTTGGAGAACCGGAATAAGTTGTACTAGTATAAGCACTTTTATACAGATATAATTGCGTCTACTCTGGGGTGGATGGGCCTGCATTCATTGTACTAGTATACTTAAAAGCAGCAAAACTTTTAAATGTAGGCAAGGCATTACTTTTTTGTATTATTTTTGTTTTTATGAAAGCATCGATTCAGGAGATCAATATTGCTGCTTGAGAGATGTACCAGTGTGCTGTGCCACGATATGCGGGCCAATCTGAGCCCAGGTTTACAGCAGTATCAAGCAGCCTTAGTGTAAATGAGAATCAGGCCCTTCATGTTAGACACTGACATTCTTTTAAGAGCTATGCACAATACTGAAGCAAACTATAACCCAGTTTATAATCTCATATCAGTCTCACCTAGCGATAGGGTCATTTTATTAAGGTGTAGAAATGTGCCTGAAAGAAAACCCTGGAACCAGATCCAGATCCAAATTTTGAAGCTTGATTTTATCACTAATAAGATGGTCACTGCTAGACAAATGGTAGGTGTAAGCAGGGCCAGCTCTGGCTTTTTTGCCGCCCCAGGCAAAAAAGCCTCCCGCTACCCCCCCTTCCTCCCCCCCGAGGGCGGCAGGGGAGGGGGCGCCGAGCCCGGCCGCGGGCCGCTCTCCCCGACC